AAAATGAATATTCAATATTTTAACCATTAATGCCAAAAGGAATCCAAACAGAGCTTCATCTTCATTTCTTTCTCATCACCATTAGAAATCGAGTCAGCATATCCCCCAATCTCAGCAAGCACCTGCTCTCAACCTGAATTTCATAATTCCTTGGCATCAATTCATGAGAGGGAAATATCTGACAGGCTTTAACATCAAGCTGGTGGGATCTCGAATGGTGAAATGTACAAGCAATCAACGTGAAATAGCCTCCACCTTGAGTGGTGTAAATGTACCTGGGTCTCTGAACTGGGCATATTAGTGACCGACATCAGATGTCTACCAGACATAAATATGATTATTGCTACAATAAATACATCACAGGATCATATGGAATACGGCTTTGAGATTCCGCTGTTGTTCCTGTGGGGAACTGAGGGTCAGAACAGATGGGTACCAGTGGACATATTCACTGATACAGCAGTTATTTTGCTGTGAAATAAATGAAGTGAATGTCTCTTAAAGAATGAAAACATGAAAAGGAAGTACTTCATGAAGTGAAAGTCTATGTCTAAATCATTATTATTGTCTCATTGAGAACAGTAAGTACCCGTGAAGATCCGGGTTAGAAATGGTCTTCAGGAAGCAATGCTTGTCGCAAGAGGTAGCTAACAGGATTGGGTGATCAGGCTCACTGACTTGGTTGACACATGTCATCGTATTCCAATACGAATTTTTTGTCACTTTCAGGGCATTTGGGCAAATGCATGAGGTTGCTTGTACTAGTTTGTGTTATAGCGCAAGTCAGTGACATACAATGCCATACATTTAACATGGAGCTTCACTTCAGCTAGGCAAATTATCCATCCATTACACCACTGAGGCACCTCAATATCAGAGGACTAGAATAGTGAGGGTGTCAGTTAGCGAGTGTCCAAAACCCAGAGTCACATGCGGTTCTTATGTTTACCACTCTGGAGTAACCTTCAAGCAAGGTATGGGGAACACTTGCACTTTTTAAGGTAATAATTATCTGTTTAAATTAATATTTCTAGAATAATATAAATAACAGTCTGGCGTCCTTAGACTGTCCGCTGGGGCGGTGGGCTAGTCTAATGGTTAAAGCGTTGGCTCATCACACCGAAGACCCGGGTTCAAATCCCCACATGGGTACAATGTGTGAAGCCCATTTCTGGTGTCCCCCGCCGTGATGTTGCTGGAATATTGCTAAAAGCGGCGTAAAACCAAACTCAGTCAGTCAGTCAGTTAGACTGTCCGCTTATCTAGACTTGCCTCTTTAAGGATAGAATTAGTATACATCCATGGGCTTAGCATTCAGTACAGCCTTGGAGCAAGGCTAGGTACAGTGGGGCTACTGAGTCCAAGCTGTTCAAGGGTTACATACAGGGTAGGTACCTTAGTTACTGACCAACTCTACCTAGTGGAAACCCTCCCACAGCTGGTCAGTGTGTTCTAGAGTACAGGACACCCATACAACATGTATAAACCCTGCAGGGCTTGGAGGAATTAACTGACATCTAATATTCGCTTTGATGCTGATACAACTGAAAACAGATTCAGCCCACAAACAGTGGCTTGTATGTCTGCATCGCCATGGAGACTAGGCATTGCAAGACCTGAACATGCATTTGGGCCTACTTGGAAAAACATGCGAAATCCATTGGTGAAGGTTAAATATGAAGTGTGTATAGCATGTTTCCGCCCAACAGGTTTGTTTAGCAGGTGATTTTTTTCAAAGAGGTTCCCATCAGTGTATGCATTGTAAGGTGTTAGATATAGGTACAAGTACCCCTCAGTGGAATATCACAAGGGAACAGTTCACAGAGACAGAGTTTGCGAACACTAGAATATTAACTAAACAGTATTTAATAACAGTTTCTCACTTAACATTGTAGAACCATGAATTTAGTTTGTTCTTGCAAGCACAGTTAAATATAATAAACAGCAATAATAAAATTAATATAACACTAATATGCACTGAGAGACACAAAGAGCAATGTATGGGTTAGCTGACTCTGATATTTGGCATACAGTGCAGTATTTGAATGACAAACGTTCCTACCAATTTAATTTTCCTTAGCAATACATAAGTCACTGATTGAATAATGGGATGACATTGGGTTGTGGGCTGACATATCCTCTGCTTGTCACATTATAATGGACAGTCTAAAAATCTGTAAATTAAGCCTTGCCACAAAGGTATGGTCTATTCAAAGAAATTATTTGAGTTAGCGAGTTGGCTTGTACTTCATTTTTAGCAGCATATCATTTCAAAGTACATCAGTGATGGTCTTGACACACTGTAACCATGTTGGGAAACAAACCTGGACCTCTGACCCCACAAGTGAACACTTTAATCAACGCTAACCCATCCCAGAGTCCCTAAGAGTGAGTGTAGTTTTACCCGCTTTTAGCAATATTCCAGCAATATCACGGCAGGGAACACCAGAGTGAGTGAGTGACACCAGAAATGGGCTTCACTTTTAGCATTGTTCCAGCAATATCACAGTGGGGACACAGACCCAGGGGCTTCACACATGTACCCATGTGGGAAATCGAACTCTTTAACCACTAGGCTACCCACTAGGCTACCCCAACCCCACTTTGATTGGTTTTAGGTCCCTATGAAGATATAGATGCAATATAGTCCCATTGTTTATGTCTCTCATACACAGGAACTGGCTGGATGAACAACATGAGTAAATTGGATGAAAAACTGAATTAATGAAATTTTCACTCTGAAACAGCATGGTTACGCACATAATTCTGAATTGCAATGGCGTGAAAATGTTTCCACTTCATGACTCATTCTAATTAATTTCCCATGTTCAAGGAACTGGATGATGAAAACATGTGTATATTTCATAGTTATGATCATCGCCATGGTGACATACGCACCAGGATGTCGGTTTATCAAATCCTGTAAGTGTACTGTACTTGATGAACTCCCATCATTAGCTGATACCACTAATGACAAGCCAACACTGTAATGACTGAAACTGACTACAGAATTATAGGTTTTGTTTGATTATGGCATGTTGTGCAACAAAACACTGCTTCAGGCTAACACACATCCCTGATGAAGTGCAGTGATTCAATATGCCAAAAATGATTGAAAGCTTTTTGTGTTTCATATTGGTGACAGGAGTTTCAGGTGTGCAAAGCCACAAAGAATTGTTATTTCAATTTCATAGAGAAGCTTTTTAAATAATCTCTGTTTGAGTCTTCACATGTATACAACCAATGCCATTTTCTGTGTCGTTGGTGTCTCATCAAATAAAAGTGTCCTTACAATTTGAAAACAAATTTAAATAATCTTTTCATAAAATATAACATTCATGTCATTCCTATTATTAAAATTACTATTTCATCTAAATGTCCAGAAGCACCAGGTTGACATATTTTGCAATAAACAGTCTTCAGTCTTCAGCAAGCTTGTGTGATGTGACATTGACAGCTTGTTAAATACAATATTGACAAACTTTATGGAACAACTTTGTTTATTTCGTGAGTAAGACGTTTCAATATAGACTCTTGTACCGTTGATAAAATACATTTCATCTTCCTCATAACCTCCCTTAATATTTGCATACTACTAGTCTATTTTATATATAGTCAATCACTGAACCCATGAATCAAAAGAAGAGTCTGTAAAATTTCTGGAATAACACTCTTTGTTTCAGGTACTACCTGATACTAAACTGAGCCAGGGATTATGTCAGTTGACAGTCCTGGGAGGTTGAGTTCAAATCCCTTAATATCCCTTGTATCCAAGCTGAAAATGATGACACTTATTAATCTAACTGTCAGTTTAATGTTTGTCCCAATACACCAAGTTATTTCCAGAATTTCCCATGTGGCACAGACCTGGAAACGGAACGGTGGAACATACTCCCCCTGTGAACACTGGAATACAGACATAACCTTTAACACATGTAAACGACACTGAGACTCGGGACAAGAGCTAACAGCAGTCATCTGATACTGGCAGGACATTACAACCAAGTTCCACTTAATATTTACTATTTCAGTATTATGTAAATGTCAATGTTATCTGGGTCTTCAAAACAACAGGTTAATGCTTATACACAGCTATAGACGAAGCGTCCTCACATGGATGATGACATTTTCACAAAAGACAAACGTATAGTATATCTATGCATATAGACAAACATTGACGTTCTTTTCACAGCTGGATCTTGAAATACCAAGGTAATTGTCTGTGAATGTCAAACTTTCTGAATTATTGATTTCCACGTTTAACGCAGTAATTCACTTAGTCCAAAACTGAACAGAAAAGTCAATTCCTCATTTCTATTTACAAAAGTTGATGTTCAACTTCATGTGAACCTCAGGTTGTTGAAACCTCAGTAAATGTGACCTCCAGATGATATGTCCTTGAGTCAATTTGACCTCAAGACCCAGAGGACTATTTGACAAACCAATGTGACCTCCAGTTGACATAACCTCAAGTCAATGTGACTTCCAGTTGACATGACCTCAAGTCAATGTGACCTCCAGTTGGTATGACCTTAAGTCAATGTGACCTCCATTTGATATCTCAATTTAATGTGACCTCCAATAGGTAGGACCTCAAAAGTCAATGTGACCTCCAGTTGATATCTCAATTTAATGCAACCTCCAGTTGGTATGACCTCAAGTCAATGTGACTTCCAGTTGGTATGACATCAAGTCAATTTGACCTCCAGTTGGTATGATCTCAAGTCAATGTGACCTCCAGTTGATATCACCTGAAGTCAATGTGACCTCCAGTTGATATCACCTGAAGTCAATGTGACCTCCAGTTGGTATGACCTCAAGTCAATGTGACCTCCAGTTGATATGAGCCCATGTCAATGGGACCCAAGAACCTTCAGGTTGATGTGACCTCCAGCTGATGTGACAACTTTGGTGACTTTCTTAACCTCCAGCAAGTGTACCCACGCATTTGCTGGACAGTCAGGTGATAAATCCAACTAAAGAGAAGAAGAAGTACTCACCCTAAACTGCTCCAAGTATTCGCTACAAAGTTCCTCATTTTCTCGAACTTCCTCTTTGGCAGTCTCGTCCGCAAGCCGCACGAAGCTGTGTTCCATCCCTTGTAGCCAGGCGATGAACTCCTCCATGGACGTGTCGAACTGCTGCAGAGAGTTATGGTTGTCCTGCAGTGCCTTCCAGTTATTGGTCAGTCTGAAACACAATCCAGTCTCAAATCATTCACATAAAACTAAACCTCCAGTCATGATCATGAATCCATTAACAAATGGTCTTGAGGCACCATACATCCCCAGACAACCAAGCAACTATTTGTTTGTTTTTGACAGAAAATATAATAAGTCTAGTGCCAAGGTAAAACACATGTGAAGCCAATTTCCAGTCTTGATGTTGATGCTGCAACAAAGACTATGTATCTCAGAGAACTGGGTAATCAGCGGACTGCAATACCTCCTGAAACTCATCCAACTGATGTGGGCAACTGCACCAGTGATTTTGGTGTGACTAGCAAGTGCTCCAACCACATGTCAATCCCTGGCATCTTAGTTGCCTCAGATAACTGTATGAAAGAAATGGGATGAAACCTATACAAAACTTGTCTAGTTTCACAAACAAATAACACAAACTTTACCCAGAAAGTTAGTTTTCATAAGACAGTTGAGACAATGACAATATATTGAAATGTGTTGAAGTGGTTCTGGAAATAAACAAGTTCCAGGAAACAAGAGTTGAAACAGAAGCTGCAGAGGAACAATACCTCTAAAAGGAGGGCTTTCCTCCAAACTGTGCATTTCCCCATCTCTATGATTCAGGACATTAATTGCCTTGTGTACCACCTCGGTGGACTAGTAGACAGAGTGTCAGCTTGGAGACAAGGTGAGTGGTGCAAACCCTGACTGTATCAAGAAAATGATGGAACTTGTTACCTTGCTTAGCATTTGGCATTGTGGGATAAAATCAGAAATGGCTGATCAGGTGAGATGCGCTGCAGCAAGGTATTTCAGTGGGCTAGAACTGTTAAACCTTCAAGTGTTCGAACTAGTACAAGCAACCCGACTGACAACCCACTCACACCCACACCTGTACCATGTTGCTGTGCAGACAAACTTCTTCAATGTGATGTGAAGCCCAATTTCAACTCAGTGTCATTAATTGTTTGGCTGACACACATCACATCATTACAGAGTGAGTGAGTGAGTATGGTTTTACGCCGCTTTTAGCAATATTCCAGCAATATCACGGCGGGGGACACCAGAAATAGGCTTAACACACTGTACCCATGTGGGGAATCGAACCCGGGTCTTCAGCGTGAGGAGCGGACGCTTTAACCATTAGGCTACCCCACGGCCCCACATCATTACAGACAAAAAGGGGGAATTTATGGGAACTGTATAAATTTTGCAGCAGCCTAGTTTCCCTTGAACAACCATCCTGACTTAACCACCCTTTGTGATAATGTCCTCCTCCTCAGAGACAGCTGAAACATACTCCATATCTGAGTACCACTCGCTCAGGAAGAAACCTGGCATGACATGAATACCACAGGTCAATTTGAATCCATATCTATAATTTAATCAATATCCCGACATGAATAATTGATACAAATGAACTCCTGCACATGACAAGCTGAACCCTTGATAGTCCTCCATTACTGTTTACTCTGAAGCTCCTTCTAAGTCAGTTCCTGTATCTTGTTGGGACGGCTAGAGGTCAACCCTGGGTTTATAATTTGTTTCTCAGATTTCTTTACACCATACATGTTGGTATTTGGTTGATAGTGAGTGAGTGAATGAGTTTAGATTGCTGCTTTTAGCAATATTCCAGTAATATCACGGCGGGGGACACCAGAAATGGGCTTCACACATTGTACCCGGTCTTTGGTGTCATAAGCGACCACTTTAACCGTTAGGCTACTCAACTGCCCCATTTGGTTGATAGAAGTCATTCAACTTCTTCATTATTACAAAAACAATTCAAGTCAACCAACATTTGAAACAGCCAGAGTAATCTCCCTTTCTGCTATCAACTCAAACAATTAAATAGCAGCTGATGGACAAACATTGATGGACAAACTTATCTTCATATTAAATCAGTTGTCATCAAGGCTGTTCACTAATGAGTCAATGAATGAGAGTGGTTTAATAGTCTGTCTAATTTATGACACCAGACACACTTCGAAATGTGAATACACAATTATCATCGAACAGCATTGAGAAACCTGTGACTTTATGCCATGATATATGTCATATGAACAAATGTGGAAATTAATGAAAAATTCATAAATTGTCAAACATCTTTAGTTCTTATGAGCAGTGACATTTTATTACTAAATGTGACAAGCAAGTTTTTTGGCTGAGATGTAGGAAGGCTAAGCATACAATACGATTTGTTATTCGAATCAGTACTCAGAAATATTCCAGTCTTACGACAATAGCTTAAATATCAAGGACTCTTGACCTGACAATCCAGTGATTGATATTATGAGTGAGTGAGTAAGTGAGTGAGTTTGGTTTTACGCCTCTTTTAGCAATATTCCAGCAATATCACGGCGGGTGACACCAGAAATGAGCTTCACACATTTTGCCCATATGGGGAATCGAACCCGGGTATTCGATTTAACCACTAGGCTACGCCACCGCCCGATTGATATAATAAGCACTATTGGAACCTTCAGGGTACACTTACATGATGTCAACCAACCTACCAAGCATGCTCCTCATTCAGTAGGTTCTTCAACCAGCATTGGCCCTTGGAGACCTATTAATACCTGGTGCAACATCCCTTGGCTAGTTATGGCCAGTTCCTAATTCCCCCAGTGCCTAGTGTACCAGTACTTCAGCAGTCCTAATGTGATCGTTTCTCATTGTAAATCAATGTTTACCTATCAGCACTAAGAGCAACATGATGGCTGAAGCCCATTCTGGGTATTCATGTTTCCTTCCAATGATCTCGCGATCACTGAAACCATTCCCATCATGTATCTATAAAACAACCCAAATTTTGCTACTTTTTATAAACAATTATAAGTTTCTTTCGACACTTTTCTAACAAAATAATTACAGAGTTGACAATTATTAGGAAGCTATTTAATCAAATAGTATTTCTTTAAGATCTGAAAAAGGATAATGAATAAAGAGATGATTTGCTTCAGAATGTATTTCACAGTTTTCCCACACGATGCATGCCTTTCAAGCTGAACAAAATGAAACCTTTTTCTCTCTTGCATAGCTGTTGACAAATGTTTGCTGACAATCAGTGACTTTCAAACAGAACATTGCCATCCATCAGCATGGACTGATAATTACAAGAAATCAGCTTATAAAAGGAACTGTACAGAAAGCTCCTCTAACATGAACATCCATCACTGTCCAACTTGAAACTGATGAAAACTGCATAAATTGTCAAACATCTTCAGATCTTGTGAACAGTGATATGTTTTTACAAGGAACAAACACTGTCAAGGTTCTGGGAACACCATGTAGGTGCCTACAAAGATCATATACACAGCTCTGTGATGATTAATCCCTGTGTTATGCTATGATATCAGCTGCCATGCCTCCTGTGGTAGCTGACATTGTGATGACCTTTTTGTCTGTTGGTGCCCAGTCAGAACATGGTTTGGTCACTCAGATGTGTCCCAGACATCCCACATCACAAACAAAGAGATATTTGAGAGGCTGACATGACAAATTTCATCATCAAAGTGCAACTTGGTCTATGTTTTTGTCACATTTTATGAAAAGCTAAAGCAAAACTATTGAGATCTGGGCACTGTTCCCTCACAAAAAGTCTATCCATGCCTCTGCTCCCACATACCTACCCCACATCTCAACCCAACACAGTGTATCTTCTACCCAACATCAACTGACGTCTGTTGGTCACTAGATCACAGCACCTCCATCTTCCCTCCAACATAGTGTATCACTCCTCCACCACACATTCCCACCCCTCATCCAATTATGTCTGCTACTGGCAGCATCACCCTCCAACACAGTCCCTTTGTCTTCTATCCCACCTAACTACCGCACATCCATTGATGTTTGCAAGCGGATAACACCACTTCCCTCCCAATCAGTCCAGGTCTCCCCTGCCCCACTTAACTAAGTACCCAAAATCCATTGCCGTCTGCTAGTGGCCACACAACCTGCCTGCTACACAGTCCATCAATCTTCTACCCCACCTACTTACCCCACCTCCACAGCCATCCTACTCACCCCACATCCATCGCCGTCTGCTAGCTGACAGACCACCTGCCTGCTACACAGACTGTCTCTCTTCTACCCCACCTACTTACCCCACATCCATTGCCGTCTGCTAGCTGACAGACCACCTGCCTGCTACACAGACTGTCTCTCTTCTACCCACCCACTACTTACCCCACATCCATCTCCGTCTGCTAGCTGACAGACCACCTGCCTGCTACACAGACTGTCTCTCTTCTACCCCACCTACTTACCCCACATCCATTGCCTCTGCTAGCTGACAGACCACCTGCCTGCTACACAGACTGTCTCTCTTCTACCCCACCTACTTACCCCACATCCATCGCCATGCTCTGCTGGCTGACAGACCACCAGCCTGCTACACAGACTGTCTCTCTTCTACCCCACACCTACTTACCCACATCCATCGCCCGCCTGCTAGCTGACAGACCACCTGCCTGCTACACAGACTGTCTCTCTTCTACCCCACCTACTTACCCCACATCCATCGCCGTCTGCTAGCTGACAGACCACCTGCCTGCTACACAGTCTGTCACTCTTCTACCCCACCCACTAACCCCACATCCATTGGCGTCTGCTAGCTGACACACCACCTGCCTGCTACACAGTCCATCACTCTTCTACCCCACCTACTTACCCCACATCCATCGCCGTCTGCTAGCTGACAGACCACCTGCCTGCTACACAGTCCATCACTCTTCTACCCCCCACATCCATTGGCGTCTGCTAGCTGACACACCACCTGCCTGCTACACAGTCCATCAATCTTCTACCCCACCTACTTACCCCACATCCATTGCCTTCTGCTAGCTGACAGACCACCTGCCTGCTACACAGACTGTCACTCTTCTACCCCACCCACTAACCCCACATCCATTGCCGTCTGCTAGCTGACACACCACCTGCCTGCTACACAGTCCATCACTCTTCTATCCCACCTACTTACCCCACATCCATTGCCTTCTGCTAGCT